ATCGGTATTTTTCTAGATTAAAAAATTAATTTATTTTTATAGATAATTTATCTATTTAAAAATTTAAAATCTAATCCATTTTTATAAGTGACTTGTTATCTTCAAATTCTACAAAAAAAAAAAAATTGAGCAACCAAGCGTATATTCTAAAATATTGTTCTTTTGATGATGTTGTTCCTTTTGTCTTCCCTTATCCATATCTAATTAGCTAGTAGGCGTTCGCTGGGATACTTCCGGCTAATATAAAAATAGTCAAGGTGAGCTGTTAATCCATGGATTAACCAAAAGCAATTTGCCACAATGGTTTGGGTGAACATGTCACGCCCCCCACCCCCAAAGTAATTTTATTTTTTTTCCTTGCATTTTTATGTATCGAACATTGCACCGCCAAACCAAACGCCTTGAATTACACTAACAAGGACATAAACGGAATATCACATGATTCTAACTTAATTCCTGTTGAAACCTAACACTGACAGGCTCGCCAGACAAAATCGGGGGAATTAACTTCCCTCATCAGCATTAATGAATCGTCACAAACAAGGAATTAGCGATGGCTCGCCAGACAAAATCGGGGGAATTAACTTCCCTCATCAGCATTAATGAATCGTCACAAACAAGGAATTAGATGAAGAGAAGCACTTTGTGCGAATAGTGTACGAGAGTATGGTAATAAGAGAAGCACTTTGTGCGAATAGTGTACAAGAGTATGGTAATATTATTTTTTTATTTTTTTAAATATATAATTTTTTTTAATATAAAACATCAAAAAAAAATTAAAATATATATATAATTTTTTTTTATTTTTTTTAAATATATATAAAAAATTTAATATAAAACATCAAAACAATTTTAAAATATATATATAAAAAAATCAGTGAAATGTAAGGAGGCAAAGACGAAATACATCCAGATTACTAGGCAAAAAGTCAATGAACGCATAAAGAAAGAGAAAAAGAGGGACAGGCGAGCCACGTGGAAAATAGGGCTGGATTTAAGGGAGTTGCCTATTTGATATCCAGGAGAGAGCAACTTATATTTCCTCGTAAAAAGGCCATGCCCTATAAGGAGGTGCGCGTTCATTTTATGACAGTTCAACAACAGTTCCTTAATGTCATGTTTTTTTATAATTAGTTTAGGATGTTTTAGTTTTAATTGTCTTTAGATTCAGTGTGTAATTTAATTTTATTAGTTGATTTCACGTCTTACTTTTAATTTGCAACAATCGTAGTCAGGTCACTTGTTTGAACCAAACGATTCCCAACAAAGTGAAAACAACCAATCGGATTCCAACTTCCTAGCAAAGAGAACAACCAACATGGGGTGCTTCTTTTAATCAGGGTGTAGGCAATGTATGCGAGCTGCAAATGCAATATATATCTTCGAAAGTCAGCTAAGAAAATTAAAATATTTTCATTTAAACAAAACACGATCTTTTACCCTTTTTCTTTGTGTGAGGTGTCATTCTATATTTTTATTGGATTTGTAATTTTTTGAGCCAGAGTTAAAAACTTCATATTTATGAGAACTTGTGTTCATAATGACTGGCGGTGGAAGAGATAAGGAAAGACCGAGATGGCACCAGATGAGTCATTTTCAAGCCAAGGAATATGTCGAAATTTCCCCAGTCCCCCCTTGATCCTCCCCTGGATTTTCTTCTGGCTGGATTCCAGAGGTAGAAGACGTGTTGATGAGGCCACCACATCATCGTTATCTAATATCGTTAATCCCCATCTAACAGCAGGCTTTTTTCAAACTGTTTGTCTATGATCTCATCCTTCTATTTTGCTGCCAACTTTATCCTAAAACGATTATGAGGTCGTTATATACGCGTGGAAAATTGGGTAATTTCTACACTTTACAACCGATGTGTTCTTAATTTAGGTAATTAAAAACTCTCCAAATTTCTACACATTACAACAAGCATGTAATTATCAAGAGAATAATTGGTATAGGAAAACAAGGAGGAGAAGAAGAAGACGAAGAGTTAATGCTTGGGAATGAAATTAGGAGGGACTCGTATATTGGATTTAAGAACCATTTCCTTAATTTGTGGTTTTCTATCTTTTTTCTCTCTAAATTGCAATAAGAAAAATGAAATAAGAAGTTTAAAGTATGATCTGACTACATCTATATATTGACTGATTTGTAATATATAGTAAGAGTCAAATTGGATGTCTTGAAAGAAGTTTATCTTGTGCGTGTATATTTATGTAAAACCTTGTGTTGAAACAATGCATGTGTAAACAAGGAAACACGGCAAATTGTTTTTTAGAATTAGTTTTCTCTGGCTTCATTTCGCCCCTTCGGACTGCCAAAAAAAAAAAACAAAAACGATAATAAATACATTCAAGGCATTTTTTAGCTTTTTCACTGAAAAAACTAGGCATGACAAAGTGTAAAGCAAGTGGTGTATAACGTTGCATGAAACAAGGAAATTACTCGTAACTGGTTCTTTTCCCTTTTTTTCTTTCCTGTAGAACGATGTTTATTTTACAAATTGATATATCATGAAGATTTATAAAAATCTTGGCATTATGGGATCACTTTCATTACAGTTTGCGAGATGTTAGTGCATTACAAATTGACAGAAAAAATTTCTACTCGACTCCACTAGTATTCATCTGGAGGGTACTTGGGCCGAAAGTCGAGAGAGATTGATAGGGGACCTCGAACGAAAGCTTGAACTTTAAACAGTGTATGATAAAGAAGGAGACGTCCCAACAAAAAGGTCTCCTTCAAATTCTAGTGAGAAACTAGTACTTGACCGGCATTATGTTGTCAACACATTTATCTTTTTAAATATATAAAAATATATAAAGACGCTACTAATTTGTTTTTTAACATAAAAGATCAACAATGGATTAGAAATCTAATGCATGTTAAAATATATTCTTTTTAAATATTAAAATAATAATATATTAAAAAATATTATTTTATTTTTTTAATATTAAGACAACGACATGTGAAATTGATTCGAACTAATCATGTTTAACATGAAAAACCTATTATCTAAATCATTAAAGCGTGATAATCCCATTAAAAGTAAAGCAAAAAAATAAAAAGTCTAATTTTTAATAAGCAAAAATATTAAAAAAACATTTTAAAAAATTAATTACTAATAAAAAATAACTTAAGTAAACTAAAAAAAACACTCTAAATCCACGAATCTAGTTGTGAGAATGGGATTACTGAGGCAAGACACTTTAAAAACATTTACAAATCCTATCTCTAAACCAACTCATTGTTAAATAACAAAGTCAAATAAAAAACTATTTTAATAAAATATAATTTAATTTGAATTAACCAAACAAACATCTTATTGAGGTCACGAGAACCAAACAAATCTCTTAATGAGATTATGAGATCAGAATAATTTAATAAAAAGTAAAATAAAAAAATTATGAAACTCTTAACTAATCAAACCTACGGTTTGAGTCATGAAAGCGAGATTAACTCTTAAAAAACAAAGCTTATATTTCAACCATCTCATTATTAAATGATAAAATTAAAAATAAATAAAATAAAACAAATAATAATTCGAGCATTTCAAGTTAACTTGATAAATGTGCAACTCAGGTTATAAGACTAAGATAACTTAAAATAAAAAAATCGTAAAGTTCAATTCTTAATAACTAAACTTGCAACATGAGTTATGAGAATGCGATTATCCTATGAAAAAAAATTACGAAGTCTGACTCTAAATGGACTTGTTAGTAAAGAATAAAATAATAAAAGAAACAATTTTAAAATACAAAAGAAAGTCAAAGTTAATAGGGGTTAACTCAACAAACCTACTATTCAAGTTATGAGACCAGAATAATATAATAGAAAGTATATAATTTTTTTTTTATAAATCTAAATATTCAGTCAATTAAATGTTAAAGGCAAAAATTAAAAAGTAAATTAATATTTTTACAAAAAAAAAAGATGTGCAAACATAGAAAAAAGAAAAAAGAGAAAAACTAAGATAGACGATGAAGGTCAATTTTTAATCAATCTAAAATTGAAGGATGAATTTTTTTTTAAAAAAACAAAAAATTAACAACTCAAGTTAACATATAAAATTTGCAACCAAAGTTATGATATTAGAATATCCCTATAAAACATAAATAAATAATTATAAATATTCAATTTCAAAATATCTAATGTTAAATATTGAAATTAAAAAAAAAATCTACACCAACAAGTCTGCAACATAACTTAACATAAAAGGATAAAAAAATATAATTTTTAAAACTACTTAATATTGAAAGATAAAATTAAATATTAAATTAAATATTTTTAAAAAGATAATATTGTTGAAAAATAAAATTAAAACAAAAAAAACTAAATAAAATAAAAGAAAAAAACACAAAACATTATCTCTATTTGAACGTTCAGTGAATTAATTGTACCTTTAGTTTTTTTTGTTAATAGAAAGTTGAAATAAAAAAAAAAAATAAAATGTTGTTCATTGGTTAAATTAAAAAAAAAACAACAAAAAACAAAAATATAAATAAATAATGTTTTGTGAGTATAACTATAATGAATTAATTAACCCCTTTAAGTATTTTTATTAGTTGAAGGTTTAATTATTTTTGTTAGTTGAAAGTTGAAATAGAAAATAAAAATTAAAATATACTAGAATGATGAAATAACTTATTATAAAAAAACATAAGAAATTATAAAGGATAATTTCAGAAATAATGTAATCTCAAAGAATAAAGTTAAAAATGAAAAATTGTAACACTGAAGTGTGAAATCTTTTTTTTTTAAGTAAAAAAAAAAACCCAAAATACTACTCCAACTGCAGACAACAGAGAGGTGAGAACTAGAGATGGGGTGAAGAAGACCCATTCTCATCCTTGCTGGCTCTATTGACCCCACCAGAAATCCCTTGACATGATTGGCAGCCAATTAGAACAACGAAAACAGGATGATTCCTTACAAACTCAGCCAATTAAAATTCAGATAAGGAATTGTTGAGGTCCAAAAGTGCAAATAGCTTTCAACGTGGAGAGCCCCTCAAGAGTGCATCCAAAAATAAATACTCGAATTATCGAGCCACTGAAAGGTACAGGAACTCAGAAAACACATCACCGAAAAAATAATAATCAAAAGACAAGTCCCAAAGACCCAATAATTTCTAGGAATCCTTTTGCTCGATTCTCAAGCTTTTATCGATTTGATTTTCTCGCTCTCACTTGTTTTTGGCTTCAAATTTTGTTTCTTGAATAGAACCACAACAGCCTCATGATTTGTAACAAAAGTTCGGCCAACGCCGTTGGTGGCAAAACTGCTAGAGCCTGTGATAGTTGTATAAAAAAGCGTGCTAGATGGTACTGTGCTGCTGATGATGCATTTCTTTGCCAAGCCTGTGACTCTTCAGTGCACTCTGCGAACCCATTAGCACGTAGACATGAAAGGGTTCGCTTAAAGACTGCATCACTTAAATCTTTGGACCTATGTTCAAAGGAGAATTCTGTGCCATCATGGCATGGAGGGTTCACTAGAAAAGCCAGGACACCAAGACATGGCAAGCCAGTGTCCCAATCAAAAATTGCAGAAACGATAAGGAATATTCCAATTCCACTAGTGCCAGAAGTGGGTTCAGATGAAATATCGCATGAAGATAATGAAGAAGAGCATCTACTTTACAGGGTTCCAATCTTTGACCCTTCTGTTGCTGATTTATGTGCTTCAACAACAATCTCAAATGAAGCGCCAGCTGGTGGTAATGGTTGTACTGATCAAAGAGTTGCTGATTCTAATGGAGTTGAATCAAAGATTTTGATAGGTGCTATTGAAAGGAGAGATGTTGAGAGCTTGCCTGGATTTCTTCCATCTGATACGGATCTTGCAGAGTTTGCAGCTGATATGGAGAGTTTGCTTGGCAGGGGTCTTGAAAATGAGTCTTTTGGGATGGAAGAGCTGGGACTTATGGATTGTAAAGAAGAAAAGGAGTTCGAGGTGAAAGGGTTTCCATTGTGGAACGGAAAGGTGAAGGTTGAAGATGAAGAGAATGCAGGCGTGGAAAGAAAAGCTGTTAGGAAATGTCATGCTGGTATTGAGACTGGCACGGCAAAAGAGCCGATTTTTGAGTTGAGCTTTGACTTTAACTCTCCTGCAACTTGTGGAGAGGAAGATGAGAAGGTAGGGATTGAAGAGGGAGACTTGAAGAACACCAGGGGAGAATATGAAGATGATGACGGTGCAAAGAGGAAGATACTGCTGAGTCTGGATTATGAGGCTGTCATGACTGCTTGGGCAAGCCAAGGGTCTCCTTGGACCAATGGTAACAGGCCAGATTTCGACCCTGATGAATGTTGGCCTGACTGCATGGTAGGTTTTTTTTTTCCATTGCTGGTAATTTGTTTTATTTTTAACCCACTAGAATACTAAAATAGAATATCGCGATTCAACATCGGTGTGTGTTTTGTACATAATTTAATTACAAATTTTGTAGTTACTTCTCATTTCCTTTTTCTGGACAAATAAAAGAGGGTGAATATATTGTTTTGGAGAAATTGTTAGATGAATTCGGCTTTACCTATTTGGACTATGAATCGACTAATCATATTACGTGACACAATCGTTTTTCTCTGTTTCACGGTTATTGTTTGTTTATCTGAAAGTTCATGATGTAAATTTGTATGATCATTTAGTCCATAGTCCATGGTTTCAATGTCTCGTTTATCTGCCGGTTTCTCTTACATGCTTGCGTAATGGGATTTGAACTTTGAACTACTTGACGAGTTGATGATTGACTGCAATTGTAATATCGTCACTTCCAGGGTATTTGTGGAGCCCAGCTTCATCATCCTTATGGAGATATGATCAGTGGACTAGGGGCACACCCTGCAATGATGGATGGAGGGCGAGAGGCACGAGTATCCAGGTATAGAGAGAAGCGGAGAACAAGATTGTTCTCCAAGAAAATAAGATACGAGGTCAGGAAATTGAATGCAGAGAAGAGACCCAGGATGAAAGGGAGATTTGTTAAGAGGACAACCTTGGCAGGAAAATAAACATGGACTGCTCCAGCGAGGTTCCAGTTTGCCTGCACGAGGTAGTGCGACCGACGCTGATAAGCACATCACATAGGACTTCTGATCGAGGGTCTTCGCAGATTTAATAAGTTTTTGTGCTGTAGTAGAGCTTTGACAATTGGTAACTTTGTATAGGTACCCTTCCTTCCCGCTAACTTTTGCTTCGCAGAGGAAAATTTTTTCATGTGGATTGTTCAGTCATTATGAGAACTTTTCTCGAGTTTACAGGTTTACAGTCGAGAACTTTTCTCGAGTTTACAGGTTTACGGTCTGAGCATCACAGTGGTTTTTTTTCATTGAAAAATTATATAATGGGCATGTTTGATTTTTTTAACAATAAAACAACAATGAAAATGTATCTTGGAAGTAGTAGACCCAGCTCTGAGGCCCATGTGCTTGAACGGGCCCACACGTCCATGAGCTTAATTTAAAAAATTATTTGGGAAGATAATAATGGTTATTTTAATAATATTTTTTTATTTTTAAAAAATTATTTTTAATATTAGTATATTAAAAAGTGTGGTTGTAATTGTTTTTAAAGTATTTTTTATTTAAAAATATATTAAAATAATATTTTTTTATTTTTATAAAATTATTTTTTAAAGTTAACACATTAAAATATCTAAAAATATCAAAAAAATTAATTTTAAACAAATAAAAAAATAAAAATTTTAAAATTTAAAATTTTTCAAAAATATTTTTGAAATGAAAAAATAAACAAAGCATAAAATAATAAATAATACAAAATCAAACGGTTTTGTAAACATTCATGGCAGACATTGTTAGAAATGGCAGGAGAGAAACTATAGCTAGATTTACTAAACCGTGCCAAGGCATCCAGAGCTTGTTAATTTAATTTATTTATAATACGGGAGGCTAAACTACTTAATAATTTCTCCATTTAAAGAACAGAGGTGAAGTTTTGGATAAAGTTATGTTATTTCGATATATGTAAGATTTATGATATGTTCTTCTTTGAAGAAAAATGATAAGTAGAGTTGGAGTATTAAATAGTTAACAAAGAATATTATAAGGAAAGGAGAGAGTGATAATGAAGTGGTGGAGGGAAGACTGAAGGCCGTACAATATTATTTTTTTATTTTTTCATTTTAAAAATTCGTTCTTTTAGTTTTGGTGTAATGAATCAGAAGTGAAGGATATTTCCCAGACATTTTCTAAATTCCCGCTTCTCCTTCCAAATATTTCAAGATAAAATCTCCAGATTAAATTAAACTCTTCAATTAAAAGTCTATCAAGCAACAGAAAAGTGAAAACACACTCTTGCTCGCATACCCTTATAAATTATTTTTACTGAAAGAACTCTAGGCGTTGAAGAGCTCCAATCGACTCACCAATTATAACAGCCAAGGAGAAATTAGAACTCTTAATTATGTAATTAATTCCCTGTAACACAAAATTTCCTTCACGAAAAGATCGAGAATACAGAGACTAGCAGTGGTTGTAATTAAGTTCGACATCTCGATCATTAATTTCATGTTTTCATTGGCTAAAATTATTTCTTTATTCAGAATACGAGTCTGATCGCGCGTGTGTATCCTTCTTCTTCGATTTATTTCATTTTTTCGAAGAGGAACGTTAATACCTTATATGGATTTTTCAGAAAGAACAGAGAATATCACAAAGAGAAATGGAAAATGAAACATCATCGAAAACTACGAACGAATTTCATGGGGCTGCTTGCTTGTCGAAATAATGTAAAGTATCCCATCTACTTCCCATCAACTGGTTTGGAAAAGACGACTTTAAATTTTGAAAGGGACTTGAGTGAGATTGGCTCATGTATCAAGATGGTGTTTGGTATCAAAATCTAACTATACTTTCAAAAATATTTTAAATTCTTTTTAGATTTAAATTAATATTTTATATTTTTAATATACTAGTATTAAAAATAAATTTTAAAAGATAAACAAATATTTTAAATTATTTTTTATTAGAAAATAACTTAAAAAACAAATACTCTCAATTATGCACATGTAGGTACGTACACCTTCGGCAGGGGCGCTTGGCCTACATGGCCTACATACAGACAGCCAAAGATAGACCTGGTGCTCGGTTGTTTTATGGGCAGCATCTTGGCAGTACAAAATATGACTCGCCATAAGTTAATGTATGGTCCCCTACACTCTGGCATCCTTTTTACTCAACAGTGAAAGACATTTATAAGCTTTGGACACGCGCGCCTATATGGATGTATGTATGTGTGTATGTATGTATATTGAACAAGGACCCAGTCTACTCCTTCGTATACCAGGGAACGTCTGACAATTAGTTGCTATGTTTTTAATTATACTAATTTAAATCTCAAATAAACATTTACTTTTCAATTAGTTACCCTTTCAAATTGTGAGGTGTAATCTAACAAATTTTTTCGCGTGAATTGTTATGACACTAATTCGTATTTTATGTTCGAGAAGATAAATTAATAAAAGAAATTAACTAAAGATTGACGTCCTTCGAGGCTTAAATTGACATAATTAGAGATGTCAAGAGTAATTGGAAACTTATTTTGTTGTGTAGGGACAAATTTAACTATCTTTTTTCCAGATTAACCATATATGTTCGGTATATTTTTCTAAGCTATTAAGTCACGTATAAGTTAACTATCCCATAATTGGCATGTGCTGCGTGCTGGAGGACAAGTTAATTTTGTTTTAATGTAAAAAAAATTATATAGGTATTTTTAATACAAAAATTAAGTTTAGTCATGAATATAAAAATATATTAAATAATAATTTTTTAACAAATATTAAAATTGTGTCGTTTTAACTCAACTTGAATTATCCTATTAAAAGAAATTATGAGTTCTAAATTAAAAAAAATAATTCAAAAATAAGTTTATATAAAATAATTCGAGTCAATTTATGTTAACTTATTAACTCAAAAACTTAATTATAAAATTAGAATAAATTCATAAAAAAAATCATGAAATACCCCTTCCAATATATCTAATGTTGAAATAAAAAAAATTATCCATAAACCAATAAATAACTTAATATAAAGGATATTGAAAAACATGAAAAATGAAAAATGAAAAATGAAAGATGATAATGATGTAAATTATTTATGTTTGGCATGGTAAATAAGTCAAATTTCTGTAAAAATCTTTCTTTGATTTCTAATACAAAATAAAAACAAATACAAAAAAAATATTAATCATAATTAAATAAATTAACTTAGAAAAATCTCAAAAATGCACAAAAATATGTATTTTATTTGATGTATTTAAAAGATAAATAACAAAAAGATTTCCATCTTTTAATTCAGTAAATTAAACCCGGCTCCAGCTGGACTAGGTTGCCACTAACAGATCCATCAAGATGGATTTTTACCCAATCATCATGCGGGGGTGGACCAGAACTTGTTCTTTGCTGTGGTCAGATATTTGCTTCTGATTGGCGCTTTGGGCTTCGGTTGCTCTTCTCATGATTTTCAAAGTGGGCTTGGACAGCCTGGCACAACTGGGCTCATGTTCCGCCTTATTTCTCCAAGCCCATCTAGTATGGACGGCTATTACAAATAGAAGGCGCCAGTCTAAAAATGAGAAATTCAACAATGAAGAAAGTTATTAAAAATAAAAATTAATTAAATGAAAGGCAAAAGAATTTGGATGAGGAGCCGAACCTAGGTGTGCTCGAACTTTTATATGGTTTTTCCTTAGACACCTGGGATCATATCCAAATTCAAACGACAAAACAAAAAACCACTCTCATCAACGACATGTCATCCAAACATTATTACCCGCATCCGGCTGCGATATCGACGATCATGTCGAATCCTTGTTATTCCCACATGAAATCTCAAAAATTGTCATTTTTTCTGCACGCAAAATAATTTAACATCCTAAACAAAAATCTAAACTCAGAAACCATTTGTAAACATTCAGTTTATGCTAAAATTGAACTTAAACTTATTTACCTATCTCTTTCAATTAGATTGTGATGTCTACATATTTACTACATTGAAAGCTTTATTTTATAGTTTTAGTTTTTGTTATTGAATATAAGTTTTCTATGCAGAAATTTCCACTTTCTTCTCTGACTCTTCTTATTCTCCTCTTTTTCCTTTTCCTTTTCTTTTTTTGTCCTTTAACTAAACTCCTCGTAGCAATAGCTCGACGAGGATATATATTAGCACTCACCAAATGTCAATGTCATTTCCCCCCTTCAATTCTCAACCTTTCACTTCGTGAAAGTAACCAGTTCCCCACTTGCAACTATCTTTGTACAAGTGGTCATAGGTTTACAGACGCTTATGAATTTAGATAAAGAGTTTCGATCTCTAAGCTCCCAAGTTATTCTTCTTCAACCTTTAAATACTTATTATGCAATCTCTGTAACACACAGGCATGCACATAAAGATTTATCTAACTTCCTGGTATTGCCACTATGAGATTTTCCACAACTCATGAAGGAGATTTGTTTTGTAGGTTTCAATCCCCTTCACCACCAGTCATTGACTGATCATCACGAACATCTCTACTATTCTTATATGGAAGCTTGCTCGTGTTAGATATTAGTTATAATTCTAGTGTAGGTCGGAATCCTTGAAAAAATATTTGTGTTATATTAGTTTATTAGAATCTTTTTTTAATTAGATAATTAGATTTCTAGTTAGATTATAATAATTAGATTAATGCATTCAGAATAATAAGCATGTTAGATAAGTTTATTGGTGAGAGAGGATAATTTAATCAATAAAGATTAGAAGGTTGATCCAAATACTTTATTTCCAACCATTAGTATTAGAGCTTGGAATTTGTGTTTTCAATAATCTATATTAGAGCAACAAGCATATTGTTGAAGTAAACTCAATTTAGAAGGTCAAAGAAGGCAGCCACCAGCTGTCACCGCCCAGCCACCAGCCGCCAGCTGCATGCCGCCAGCCGCTTTCACACCGTCGGCTACAAACCGCTTTCACACTTGAAAGTTGAATTTTCTTGTTTTGATTTCATGTATAAATAGATAGCCAAGCTTATGCAATTATGTGTGGAGAGATTGAGAGAAACACTAGAGAGAAAGAGAGAAA